AAGAGCCTTTCAACAGTCATACATTGCGTAAGGATGGGGATAGGTTCTGAGAAATGTGTTGTCAGGTGATTTCATCACTGTGGGACCATCACAGAGTACGCTTACACAAAGCTGGTGCAAAGCCTACTACACACCAAGGCTAGATGGCAGAGGTTGCTGCTCCTAGGCTACAGCCCTGCACAGCATGTTACTGTACAGAAAACTACAGACAACTGTAACACAATGCTATATTGTATATTTGTGTATCTAAACATATCTACACATAGAAAAGGTACAGTAAAAATACAGTATTATAATCTTATGGGACCACCAACTTAACACGAGGTGTGTTGAACTGTGTTGAACAAACATCATTCATAATGTGGCACCTAATTGTATTTAACAGACTAAACACTAATAAACTGATTACAGAACTGTAAAGAGAAAAAAGAAACTTCTTCACTCCAAAAATAAAATCTCTATGCACCTAAATCTCTTCTTCACTCCAAAAATAAAATCTCTATGTTTTACCTAAATACAAAATGAAACTTGAGATTTCAAAACATAATTATTTTCCTTCAAAATATTCCGATGGCTCAAGCCTGTAATCCCAGCACTTTGGGAGGCCAAGGCGGGTGGATCACGAGGTCGAGAGATCGAGACCATCCTGGTCAACATGGTGAAACCCCGTCTCTACTAAAAATACAAAAAAATTAGCTGGACATGGTGGCGCGTGCCTGCAATCCCAGCTACTCAGGAGGCTGAGGCAGGAGAATTGCCTGAACCCAGGAGGCAGAGGTTGCGGTGAGCCGAGATCGTGCCATTGCACTCCAGCCTGGGTAACAAGAGCGAAACTCTGTCTCAAAAAAAAAAAAAAAAAAAATTCACATTTACCCAATATTGTTGGACAAATTACCATATTGAACAGAAGGCCTGGCCGGGCGCGGTGGCTCAAGCCTGTAATCCCAGCACTTTGGGAGGCCGAGGCGGGTGGATCACGAGGTCGAGAGATCGAGACCATCCTGGTCAACATGGTGAAACCCCGTCTCTACTAAAATTACAAAAAATTAGCTGGGCATGGTGGTGCATGCCTGTAATCCCAGCTAGTCAGGAGGCTGAGGCAGGAGAATTGCCTGAACCCAGGAGGTGGAGGTTGCGGTGAGCCAAGATCGTGCCATTGCACTCCAGCCTGGGTAACAAGAGCAAAACTCCGTCTCAAAAAAAAATTAAAAAAATAAAAAAAAAAGCTCTTCAGCTTTTGGTTTTTAATAAACATATTAAAACATCCTTCTTGTTTTTAATAAACATATTTTCAAGAAACTATAAATAGTCCGCTCTAAAAATACAATCTCTCTCTCCTACCATAGATTTAATAAACTCCCCTTCTGAACTCCTGACTGATTTATACAGTCTGTCCAATTCATCCATCCTCAGTATATGTTGCCATGCACATAGTATACCCCTATTTTTTTTTTTTTGAGACCAAGTTTCACTCTTGTTACCCAGGCTGGAGTGCAATGGCGCGATCTCGGCTCACCGCGACCTCTGCCTCCTGAGTTCAGGTAATTCTCCTGCCTCAGCCTCCTGAGTAGCTGGGATTACAGGCACGCGCCACCATGCCCAGCTAATGTTTTGTATTTTTAGCAGAGACGGGGTTTCACCATGTTGACCAGGATGGTCTCGATCTCTTGACCTCGTGATGCACCCGCCTCAGCCTCCCAAAATGCTGGGATTACAGGCGTGAGCCACCACGCCTGGCCTACCCCTATTGTTTGCAAGCAGTCAGAAACAGGCACACAGCTTTGATGCAGCAAAGTGCTCTGCATACAGCAGGCACTGGCCAAATACTCAATAAATTAATGAAACCCATAAACACACTTTGTGTTAGCAAGCTAAATTCCTCATCTTTAGAAATACTGTAATATTGAGTCAGGCGCAGTGACTCACACCTGTAATCCCAGCATTTTGGGAGGCTGAGGTGGGCGAGGTCAGGAGTTCAAGACCAGCCTGGCCAACACGGTGAAACCCTGTCTCTATTAAAACACAAAAATTAGCTGGGTGTGATGATGCACGCCTGTAGTCCCAACTACCCAGAAGGCTGAGGCACAAGAACTGCTCGATCCTGGGAGGTAGAGGTTGCAGCGAGCCAAGATCATGTCACTGCACTCCAGCCTGGACAACAGATTGAGACTCCACCTCAAAAAAAAATAAAAGAAGAAGAAATGCTGTAACATTAAATAGCATCAATGAACACTTAGCTTCCTGCTCTTTTACAAAAGATTCTTTCCAATATTAATTAAACTGTAGCTATAGAAATTATCATTCTCCTAAGTGCATATAATTTGAGGAAGGAAGATAACCAAAGTAGCTTTAAACAGCAATACAACAAATTCATTATTTTGTTATTGTTTTGTTTTGTTTTTGAGATGGAGTCTCACTCTCTCACCCAGGCTGGAGTACAGTAGCATGATCTTGGCTCACTGTCACTGCAACTACTGCCTCCTAAGTTCAAGCAATTCTCCTGTCTCAGCCTCCCAAGTAGCTGGGATTACAGATGCCCTCCACTAGGCCCAGCTAATTTTTGTATTTTTAGTAGAGACGGGGTTTCACCATGTTGGCCAGGTTGGTCTTGAACTCCTGACTTAGGTGATCCACCCACCTTGGCCTCCCAAAGTGCTGGGATTATAGGTGTGAGCCATCCCTCCTGGCCAACAAATTCTTAATTTACACTTTCATTTGAAACAAAAAATACAAAACATTACTTTCAGTTTGATATACAGTAGGATTTTAAACACTTTTCATCGAAGCAAAAACACTTGCTTAAATGGTTAATGTCATAAATGCTAATCATATGCAAAAGAATGGTTAAGGAATATAATTTCCATGTGACATTAAAAATGGAGAAATAAATTGAAAATGGAATAAAACGTGATGAAATTTCCACCAGAAGTTTAACAAAGTTTGCAGTAACATTTTATCACAACAGCACTGTTAGATGAATTCCTAGAGGGCTGAAACACCACACTCAACTTCTGAACAATCCTGAGGAACAGAGTGGTCTCTACAGACCTCAGAGCTCTATCATCAATATTAACCTGCTTAAAACGTTTTGTCATTAATGAGATGAAGGCATGGAATACATACACCATCAATTCCATGGAAGACATTGAATCAGAAAAACATCATTGGCCAGGCGCTGTAGCTCACGCCTGTAATCCTAGCACTTTCGGAGGACGAGATGGGTGGATCATCTGAGGTCAGGAGTTCAAAACCAGCCTGGCCATCATGTTGAAACCCCACCTTTAAAAAAAATAAAAAATAAAAAAATACAGAAAAACATAATTAATTGGATAAATAACAATCAAGATCTTCAAAAGATCTCAGTAGTTAAAAGAATAAGTTTAAACCAAGGATGAAATTCAACAGATGTAAAATCTTTTCCCTGAAAAAATAAGACAGGATAAGTAAGAAAACTCCATCTTAGTTTCAACTCGGGGAAAGAGACTTAGAAATTTTAGTTCAGGGCAAAAGCGCAAAGTGAACAGTCCTAATAAAGCTACCCAAAAGGAGGAGGGGGGAAAACACACTCAAGATCTCCTGTATACAGCACTTCGCAAGAATGGCTGACATGTATTACATAACATAACCTTTTCAATAACAAAATGAGGCTGATATGAACACCATGTGAGAGGACAGCAAGTAGGGAGTTAGGAAGGCCTTGCCCAAGGTCACACTGCTGTTATGAGATGCGGCCAGTGTCCACTCCCCTACGCTGTCACCAGTGAACAGTATTAATAGAAAGGTAGCATTCAAACCCAGGGGATAACAGATCACTCCATTTGTTCCTCATTGTTCAGTTCATATTTAGATACCGTTCAACCCCTGGGATCACATTTCAAAAGCGATTTTGAAAGACTCGAATTTGATCAGGAAAGTAACCAGAACTGTGGCGGAGGGGGGGTGGTGCGCGCACCCGCTGCGATCTCGGGAAGTTCAGAGGAGAAAGAAAAATACTGAAGAAATATAATAACTATCTTGAGCTATCTCATTTAGAGATAAACAATTCCTGGAATACTTTTATGACCATAACTCACAGGCCAACATACCGAGAAAAATGCTCGAACTTTAATAAATGAAACTGCCAAGCAATTAACACTTTCCTATAATGGTATCAACTTCAAGTGACCTGGCCAAGCACAAGCAACGTTTTACCGTTTAAGCTAAACGACAAAACCTTTAAAAACCTGGCAGACCTTCGATATTTTTGCTTACAATCTGGAAAAAAAATGCATTTATTCAACTTTCTTTAGTAAATGAGTACATTATTACTGTTGCTCTTGTGTTATTCCGATGAACAGCTATCTTAATGTTTCCCTCCAGCGGTGGCTGCTTACCCGGGAAGGGAAAGAAAAGGAAGTACTAAAAGCGAAACAGTATCATGGCGCGGTGTTAATCACTTCAGCATCCGTCACCCCGCACTTACCATCTTCCTTGAAGCCGGCCATCCCCACTTTTTGGCTAGAAGGAAGGCCACCCTTCTCTCCGAAAGGCCTCCAAAGTGCTTCCCCGGAGACGCACTTCCCCGGGCTGCCCAGGCCGAAGCCTATGGGGCGAACAGAGACCCCCGGGGAGAACCCTTCTGCCCCGGACCTCTCCGGTGCCGCGACTCCAGCGCCCCGACTCCTCCTAGACTACGACCCCGGCTGCACCGCCCCGGGCCCGGATCCCTCCTACACCCCGGTCCCTCTGGCACTGCCACGGACTCCTCCTGCGCCCCGACTTCTCTTGCACCCTGAACCCTTCCGCACCACGGCCCTTACAGCACCGCCACCGGCCCTCCTGGGCCCCGACCCCTGCCGCACCACCCTGGGTCCTCTGCCTTCCGAGCCCACCTGCATCCCATCCCCCACCACGCCCCAACGGCCACTGCACCCCGCTAGAGCCCGGTAGCGTCCCGACTCCTTTTCCGGGCAGCCGGGAAGGACTCGGCGCTCAAGAGATAGGAAGATGGCGGCACTCACCTGTCACAGCCGCCGTGCCCGCCACCCCCGGAGCCAGCGCGGGTCGCGCACCGCCCGTGACTCCCTAGGACGCAGTCCCCCGTACCGACCCCACGACGCGCAGGACGCCGGCTGCCTCCACACTGACGCGACCCCACGACCCCGACCCGCGCTTCCACACTTCCGGCGCCGCCGGAAGTCCCGCCCCACTCCCGCGCCTCTGGGGCCGCCGGAAGCCGCCCACGGCGTCGGAAGTCCCGCCTCGGCTTCCGCCCCGCCTCCCAGTGGGGTCCGGGCGCCTCTGCTCCGTCGCCGACGCCCCCGCCCCGGTCGCCCACGCCGGCCGCACCCCGGGGCGGTACCTACTCACCGGCTGGGCGCTGCGAGTCCATCTGCCCCGCGGCCCGGCAGCCGGGGCGGGAGGACGGCGAGCCCGGGGTGGGGTCCGCCCGAGGCCCGAGACCCCCGGCCGCCTGCGCTCGTGGCCGCGCTGCCTGCGGCGCGGGAGGCTGGCGGGGACGGCGCGGTCAGCGTTCGGCTCCTCCGCAGTGACTCACCCGCATCCCGAGGCTTCTGATCACCATTGGCTGGGAAGGAAAAACAGAATCAGCTGTTCACTGCGAAGGTGGGACTTGAGCCGCTTTTTTCCTAGAATCTGGGTTGGCACCGCCGCGGGATGGTCTTGACGTCAAAGCCGTCTCCGCTCTGCAGAAGGCCCTGACTGCGCCCTTGAAGCCCGTCTGGAGGAAACCCACAGCGGGAAAGCGTTTTTCTCCTGTGTAGGTCAACATTCCTGCAACTTCTTTAAACATGAAGCTCAAGGCCGGGCGCGGTGTCTCAACTCTTGTAATCCCAGCACTTTGGGAGGCCGAGGCCGGCGGATCACGAGGTCACGAGTTCGAGACTAGCCTGGCCAACATGGTGAAACCCCGTCTCCACTAAAAATACAAAAATTAGTGAGGCGTGGTGGCGCGCGCCTGTAGTCCCAGCTACTCGGAAGGCTGAAGCAGGAGAGTCTCTTGAACCCGGGAAGCGGAGGTTGCCGTGAGCCGAGATCACACCACTGCACTGCAGCCTGTCAACAGAGTGAGACTCCGTCTCAAAAAAAAAAAAAAAAAAAGAAAAAAAAACAATTAAGCTCAAGATGAAGAGTCAGAAGCGGTAACTTGTTTGTTGCACGAGAATTAAATTTAACATATTTAGGGGATCCAAATAACCAAAAAAAAAAAAGTGTATTTCTGCATTGAGTATATTAATAAAACTTTATCGCTAAAAACAGTTCTCTAAGAGGAACGCCAAAGAAAAAATATTTGACATTTTAGAGAAGTCATTTTTTAAACTTTTAGCGGTTGTGACATTTAAGTAACAAATGTTTATTTAGCACCCAGTATGCAGACATTCTGCTGGGCATGGCAGCAAAGAGAAAGCTTTGCAAGTCGCAGTGTGTCATCTAACCCACATTCTAATAGATGGTTTTATTTTGCAGGCAGATAACGCTTCGGATATCATTAATGTAATGTTTTAATTTGATATATTTAGGATTCCACGAAAGTCACTGAAAATAACAATGCATGACAGGTCACAAAACCAAGGGAAAGCAACAATTTTTTGAGAGCCAGTCACTTTCCATCTTTTGTAACTAATGTAATCCCCAAAAGAATCCAGTAAAGTAGAAGTTATTATTCTAAATTGAATTTTAGGTATGAGAATGTTGAAATAACTTGTCAAAAGTCAAAAAGGTAATCGTGCAGTCGGGCAAAGTCTAAAGGCTGATGTCAGAGCCCATGTTCTTTTCACTACCCATGCTAGGGCTGCGGTAACAAAATACTGCAAACTAGGCAGCTTGAACAAATTTATTGTCAGAGGTCTGACTGGAAGTCCAAGGTGAAGGTGTTGGCAGGGTCGATTCCTTCTGAGAGCTGTGATCAGAGCCTGTAAAGCTTGTCAGCTTCCGGGCATTCCTTGGCTTGTGGCAGCATACCCAGTCTTCACATGATGTTTTGCGTGTCCATATCTGTCTGCACACTTTGTGTTCTTTTTATGAGGACATCAATCATATTGGAGTAGGAGAGGCCCTACTCTGACCTCAGGTTAACTAATCATAGCCACAACAACCGTATTTCCAAATAAGGTCACATTCTGAAATACTGGAAGTGAGTTCTTCAACACATGAACTGAAGAGGGGGACACAGTTTAACCTGTAACACACTGTTTCCTGAAATAATTGTCCAGTGTAATTTTTTTGAAAGATACAAAACTAGCCAAAATTATAAAAGGTTATGATTGCAATCCTAGTATCCAATTACATACTTCCTCCTACAGAAGCTGCAGAGAATCCTGTCTGACAAAACCAGTTTCTATCTTGTTACATGTCCACCTATGCAAAATACATGTAATTTATTTGTCCCTGCCATAGGGCAACAACGCTGAATTTAGTAAGATTCATTTACGAGCATGGTTTGATAGAGATTTAAGATTTACTAGGTATTCTCTCATTGTCCTGATTACCGATTATTTTAACTGTGCCTCAAACACTTGGGTAGTTAGTACACTCTAGTGTTATAAGCTGATTGCCATGTTGCTTCATAATCATTCTCGTGTGTGTGTGTGTGTGTATACGTGTGTGTGCATATACATGTGTGTATGTCATAACAGGCAGACCTCTTTTAGTGTGCATCACTTTATTGCACTTCAGGGTATCATGTTTCTTACAAAGTGGAGATTTGTGGCAGCCCTGCACAGAGCAAGTCTGTCAGCCCCATTTTTCCAACAGTACGTGCTCACTTCATGTTCTGTGTCACATCTTGGTGATTCTTGGAATGTTTCAAATGTTTTCTTTATTATATCAGTTATGGTGATCTGTGATTAGTGATCTTTGATATTACTGTTGAAATTATCTTGGGGGGCACCAAGAACCACCCCTATATAAAACAGCAAACTGAGTCAGTAAATGTTAGATGTGTTCTGACCATTCCACTGACCAGTTGCCTCCCTATCTTGCCCCATGTATTCAGACCTCCCTATCCTTGAGACACAGCAATACTGAAATTAGGGGCCCGCCCTGCTGGGGGTTCATGCCTGTAGTCCCAGCTACCTGGGAGACTAAAGCAGGAGGATTGCTTGAGCCCAGGAGTTCGAGGTTGCAGTGACCCATGATCACACCACTGCACTCCAGCATAGGCAGTAAAGCAAGACCCCGACTCAAAAAAATTAGGGCAATTAATAGCCCTAAAATGGCCAATAATTGTTTTGTAAAAGAATGAGTTGCACATCTCTTACTTTAAATCAAAAGCTAGAAATGATTAAACAGTGAGGAAGGCATGTTGAAACAGCCAAATTGTGAATGCAAACGAAAAGTTCTTTAAGGAAATTTGAAGTGCTCCTCCAGTGAACACACAAATGATTTAAAAAAATGAAACAGCTTTATTGCTGATATGCAGAAAGTTTGAGTGGTCTGTAAAGATTAAAGCGACCATACTGTTTCCTTAAACCGAAGCCTGATCCAGAGCAAGGCCCTAACTCTCCAGTTCTGTGAAGGCTGAGAGAGATGAGGAAGCTACATAAGAAAAATCTGAAGCTATCAGAGGTTGGTTCATGAGATTGAAGGAAAGAAGCTGTCTCTATAATGCAAAAGTACAAGATAGGCCAGGTACGGTGGCTTATGCATGTAGGCCCAGCATTTTAGGAGGCCGATGCAGGTGGATCCTTTGAGGTCAGGAGTTCAAGACATGCCTGGCCAACATGGTGAAACCCTGTCTCCACTAAAAATACAAAAATTAGCTGGGTGTGGTGGCGCACCCTGCAGTCCCAGCTACTCAGGAGGCTAAGGCAGGAGAATCACTTGAACCCAGGAAGTGGAGGTTGCAGTAAGCTGAGATCACACCATTGCACTCCAGCCTGGGCAACCAAGTGAGACTCCTACTCAAAAAAAAAAAAAAAAGTGCAAGTGTAAGTTAAAGCAGCAAGTCATCTCAGATCATCTAGATCTACCTAAGATCACTGATGAAAGTGGCTATGCTAAACAACAGGTTTTCTTTGGAGTTCAAACAACCTTATTTTGGGAAAAGATGCCACCTAGGACACCCATAGCTAAAAAGAAGTCAAAGGCAGGCTTCAGAGCTGCAACAGACAGGCTGACCCTTGCTAGGGGGCTAGTGCAGCTGGTGACTATGTTGATGCCAATGCTCATTACCATTCTGAAAATCGCAGGGCCCTTAAGAGTTATGCTCATATTTTCAGCCCACTGTTGAGACCTACTGCTCAGGAAAAAAAAAATTTTTTTTTTTAATATTACTGCTGATTTTACAGCACTCCTGTTCACCCAAGAGCCCTGATGGAGATGTACAAGGAGATTCATGTTGATTTCATTCCTGCTAAAACAACATCCTTTCTGCAGCCCAAGGATCAAGGAGTCATTTTGATGTTCAAGTCTCATTATTTAAGAAATACATTTTGTAAGGCTATTGCTGCCTGAAGATGTAACTGAATCAGTGCAATAGCATAATAAAACTTGAATGGATAAGCAGTTGCTTCTTGTGGATGAGCAGCAAAAGTAGTTTCTTGAGATGGAACCTAATTCTGGTGAAGATGTGAACACTGTTGAAATGACAACAAAGGAGTTAGAATACTCCATAGACTTAGTTTATGAAGGCAGCAGCAGGGTTTGAGAAGATTGACTCCAATTCTGAAAGTTTTCCTTTGGGTTAAATGAAATCTTTCATGAAAAGAGTCCATCAATGTGAGAAATTTCATTATTGTCTTATTTTAAAGCTGCACAGCCACCCCAACTTTCAAGCACCAACTTGTTCAACAGCCATCAACATCAAGGCAAAACCCTCTGCCAGCAAAAAGATTATGACTCACTGAAGGCTCAGCTGATTGTTAGCAATGAAAAAAAAATTAATTTTAATAATCTCAACATTCAGAACTCATCTTTTTAATATTCTCTATGGCAAAATGGGAAATACACAAAGCACTTCTGCTACATACTGAATTATGATGGTTGTCTCCAGTAAAAAAACTTGTGGGAACGTTTGAGTTGTAAGCTGAACTAGCTAGCTGCATTTTTCATGAAATACCACTTTTAATGGAAATAACTGACAGATAAACAGGTATTCAAATCTAGATTTTTGGTGGACATTTTCATGAAAATATGTTCATGCCACTTCAAGGAACATAATTCTCAGTACTTGTTGACAATGTTTGAATTTTCATGCAAAAATTCAAATTTTAAGAACTTGGCATCTTCCGAATACTTAAACACTTTTCTGATGAGATTACTAGTGATATTAACAAACGTGATTGATATTGAATAATGAAATGTGTTAGCATGTGGAAGATTTAATTCAGTAAATCACCATTTTCCAAATGACCAATGCATGACATTGCAACATCATGCATAGGAAAATAAGCATTCGAAGTAGTCAAAAATCAACGAATTTTAATGTAACAAGAGTATAAAATGTCCACTTAAGTGGTTTCCCATTCCAAATAGTAACTGGAAAATCCACCGCTTGTTTGGTGTAGTAGTATCAAAAAAGAATAACGAAGATCATTTGAAAATGCAATTAAAAAATACACCTCAATTTTCAAACTGCATACAGCAGGCACTCATTCGTTTCTTTGTAACACTGGGGAGAAAAGACTCCCTTGGAGGGGTGCTGTCTGTGTGCTGTTGACGTGTTCTCCCCACACCTGCATAGGTTTTCTCTGGGTACTGCAGTTCTTGCCACGTGCAAACGGTGTGCGCGGGAGGTGAACTGGTCGTCCGCACCGTCCCGGTCTGAGTGTGCGCGTGAGTGGCCCTGTGATGGAACGGCGTCCTGCCCTGAGCTGCTGGAACAGGCATCAGACACACACGACCCGGGGCTGGAATCATTAAGTAAATGATTACCTTGTTTTTTAGTAATCTTTCTTAAATGCATGTATAGCTCACATTACAATGTTTAATATTAGAACAGTTTGGTCTTTAGAAGCTTACTGATTTTTTTTTTTCTTGGCGGAGGTTGCAGTCAGCCGAGATCGTACTACGGCTCTCCAGCCTGGGCGACAGAGCGAGACTCCGTCTCAAAAAAAATAAAAATACTACGAAATTAGCCCGGCGTGGTGGCGAATGCCAGAAGTCCCAGCGACGTGGGACGCTGATCGGGAGCATCGCTTGGACCCGGGAGGCGCAGGGTGCCGCGAGCTGAGACCGCACGACCGCACTCCAGCCTGGGCAGCAGGAGCGACGCTCTCAAAAAAAGAATGTAGAATGCCTCCTCCGGCACCCCGAAGGCAAACACTCCCAACACGACGTGGAATGCCCCCCCTCCGGCGTTTCTGCCCCGCCTTCGTCCCTCTCTCGGACGCTTCCGCGCGGTCACCATTCTGGACGCGCAGGGCCCCGCCCTGCAGACCAACGCGGCGGAACTGGGATGCGGACGCACAACCCGCCCGTCAGCAGTGATGTCCCGCCTCTCCTCCGCTCCCATTGGTCCAGCCGCGCAGGGGCTCCGCCCATGGGACGCCGAGCTTCCGGGTACTGGCTCCGCGCGCCGGTGATTTCCGACTTGGAGGCGCAGCTGCAGAGAGCGTGCGCGTCGGGACGCCCGCCGTTGGCACGCACCCTTCACAGCGCCTCCGGCTCGCCGGACTGGATCGAAAGGTTGATTGGCTGGCGACTGAGGTGGCTTCGGGCACCGTCTAGTCGCAGGACGCTGCCCCCGCGGAGCGGGGCGGAGCGCGTTGACTCCCTCGCGGGTGGCCAGGGCCCACGCGCGCGGCTCACCGCCCCGCTGCTTCGCTCGTCTGGGGACGCCGCAGGCCGGGGAGGTGGTGCCATCGCGCGACGGCCTGGCGAGGTTGTGACGTCAGGCACGTCGGGGCGCCGATTGGCCGGGCGATGTGGTGCGGACTGGCGCCGGCGAGGGCGATTGGCTGCGTGGCCCGGGGGTGGGGCCAGTGGGCGGTGCGCGCCGCGGACAACGCTGGAAGTCGGCGCGCTAGGGAGTCGGTGGTTGTCCGTGTCCGGAGAACGCTCAGGTACTGGGGGCCGGGGCGAGGCGGGGAGGAGGCCCGAGGTCTGGGCCGCCCGGGAGGTCTCGGCGCGGCGGCATGGACGGCTGGGGGCGGCGGCGCGGGTCACCGGAGCCGGAGCGAGGCGGGGCCGTCCCGGGCTGTGGTGGGCGCCCGCTCCCTGTGGAAAGCGGGGACGTTGCCGTTCTTTGTCCCTGGAAAAGATCGTCGTGTACGCAGTCAGCTGAGGTTTAGGAACGCGCGGAATTGGAAACCAAGTCTCAGGAGACTACGAATTGCGAGTTTCCTCTTAGAGAATTCAGAAACAGGCGTAGACAGCGTCGTCGGAAACACGGGCGTGACGGCGCCGGTGTCCTGTGCCGAGTGCACGTGGGTCGGTGCGAGGGGGTGACGGGGACACGCTCAGGGCGCTGCTCCTGGGAACGGGACGGGAGAAGAGGCGGGGAACATGCAGAGATGGAACCAGAGCTTTTTCTTGGGTTGGGGGATGTGTTCCCGCGTCTGCTACACGGCGTTGCCTTTAAACGCATGAGAAGACGTGTTCGTTTTATCTTGTGATTAAGAAGTTTAGTCTTAAAATCTGAATTCTGAAAATTCTGAAAGCAACTGTTATTGCAGCGGGGCGGTGGTGCACACCTGTAATCCCAGCACTTTGGGATGCGGGGACTGGAGGATCCCTTGACCCTGGGAGGCGGAGGCGGAGGCTGCAGCGAGCCTGGATCACGCCACTGCACTTTAGCCTGGGCGACAGACATAGCAAGACCCAGCCCTATCCCCCCCCCAAAAAAAGTCACGTCAAAAAAGTCTAGTAATTAATAGTAACGAAGTCTATCTTAGTGGTCACCTAATATACATTTGGCCCACTGTATCTTTGGAGTCCATATCTATGTATATAACCAACTGCACATTATAAAATATTTGGAAAATAATTTATCTGTACTGAATATATACAGACTTACTCTGTAAACGATACAGCACAACTACTTAGGTAGCACTGACATGTTGTAGATATTATCTAGAGATGATCATGTAACGTTCAGCCCGTATCACTTAACAGATACTTTGGAGAAATTCATTGGTTGATAGTTTCACCATTGTGGAAACGGAGTGCACTGACACAGAACTAGACAGTGGTGCAGCTGGGCTTTCTGGTGTATCCAGTTGCTCGTAGGCTATTGCTCCTGTTGCTTCAGGCCTAAACCTGGACAGGGTGTTACTGTGCAGAATAATCTGGGCAGTTGTAACACAGCAGCAAGTATTTGTGTGTCTAAACGTAGAAAAGGTGATGTGCTAGGATGTTTCAATGGTTACAACATCATTAGGCAACAGGAATTTGTCAGTTCTGATTTTATGGAACCACCATAGTATATGCAGTCCTGTACTTTACAGAAACACCATCATATGACGCGTCTGTATACAATAGGATATACACAGGTGGTACGCAAATATTCCATTTTATATCTGGAACTTCAGCATCCTCAAATTTTGGTTCCTGTGGGAGATCCTGCAACCAACCCCCACAGATACGAAAAGATGACTGTATATGAAACTAGCCTATAAAGTTGGAAATAGGCCAGGCATAGTGGTTCACACCTGTAATCCCAGCACTTTGGAGGCTGAGGGAGGCAGATCACCTGAGGTCAGGAATTCAAGTCCAGCCTGCCCAACACAGTGAAACCCCATCTCTACTAAAAATACAATTAGCTAGGCATGGTGACAGGCATCTGTAATCCCAGCTACTCGGGAGGCTGAGGCAGGAGAATCGCTTGAACCTGGGAGGCGGAGGTTGCAGTGAGCTGACATTGCGCCATTGCACTCTAGCTTGGGCAACAAGAGTGAAAACTACTTCTGAAAAAAAATAAATAATTTTTTTTTAATTGAGGCTAACTCTGAAGTGAACTTCCTTTTCACATTACTTTCTCTTTTGATTTGTGGTAATCATTAACCCTATTTCAGATTTTTTTATATTAGACATCAATATCTCCATCATCACTGACTCCTGACACATGCATGCATACACACACACCCCAGATCCTATGTGAGTTTAGAACTTTGTATTAAGTAGCTGTTTAAACACTTTGTGTACATTCTGCAGTATGCTTGAACTCTGCTGAAAGTATTTCAGTAGGCTGGACGTGATGGCTCACACCTATATGCCCACACTTTGGGAGGCCAAAGCAGGCAGATCACCTGAGGTTAGGAATTGGAGATCAGCCTGGCCAGCATGGTGAAACCTCATCTCTGCCCAAAACACACAGATTAGCCAGGCATGGTGGCGCAAGCCTGTAGTCCTAGCTACTCAGGAGGTCGAGGCAGGAGAATCAATTGAACCCAGGAGGTGGATGTTGTAGTGAGCCAAGATTGCGCCATTGCACTCCAGCCTGGGCGACAGAACAAAAAAGTATTTCAGTAAAATCTATATATTTTTAATAGAGTCACATAGAAAGCACGTGGGATCTTCAAAATATATTGTGTAGAAAAATCAAGAAACAAAAAAATTATAATTCAGAAATAAAGGGGAGGAAAATAGAGAAAATTAAAATCTTCAAAGTTGTGCTGTGTAAAGGTGCTCTGAAGGATACAAAAGTTAGAGAGCTTAGAAGCTGCCGGATATAGATGTGTAAGTGTGTGAGTCACAATACAGAAATACTCTAGTAAGTGCTTTATGTTTAAATCACATGGGAGGGATTAATTGGGGCTCAGAAAATTAATGCTTGGTACACTAAGTTAGAGGTGGGCTAACTATGGCCCACAGGCCAAATCTGGCCTGCTGCCTGTCGTCATACCCTATGAGCTGAGGGGTTTTCTCATTTTTAAATGGCTGGAGAAAAACTAAAATATGGGAGGAAGTGTCAGCCGCTATGTGCTGGATGCCGATTTGACAAGATCAAAGCTGCAGGAAAATGGACAGTGAGGTTCAGAGAGACGGAAGGATCTTGGATTTGATTGATGATGCTTGGCGAGAAGACAAGCTGCCTTATGAGGATGTCGCAATACCACTGAATGAGCTTCCTGAACCTGAACAAGACAATGGTGGCACCACAGAATCTGTCAGAGAACAAGAAATGAAGTGGACAGACTTAGCTTTACAGTACCTCCATTAGAACGTGCCCCCCATTGGAAACCGACACTTGGCTCCTTTCTTGCTGGCGAATTTTCTAAAAGTACACAGAGAAAAAATGTTTTGTTTCAGTCTCCTACTTCAAATCTCTGAGTAATAAATCACTCAAAAATGTACACCCTTGCCGGGCACGGTGGCTCAAGCCTGTAATCCCAGCACTTTGGGAGGCCGAGGCGGGTGGATCACGAGGTCGAGAGATCGAGACCATCCTGGTCAACATGTGAAACCCCATCTCTACTAAAAATACAAAAAAACTAGCTGGGCGTGGTGGCGCGTGCCTGTAATCCCAGCTACTTAGGAGGCTGAGGCAGGAGAATTGCCTGAGCCCAGGAGGCGGAGGTCGCGGTGAGCCGAGATCGCGCCATTGCACTCCAGCCTGGGTAACGAGCAAAACTCCGTCTCAAAAAAAAAAAAGTACACCCTTTTAGTTTGCGGTAGCAGAGTGCAATGTGAAAATATTCACCAGAATGAGAAATAGATTTCTCAGTAATGCTGAATATTTGGCTCTTTAAAAGCTCTTCGTTAAGTAGCTTGTATTTGAACATGATTGGTTAAACATTAAAAAAAAGAAAAGAAAAACTATAAAATATTTTGTGACACATGAAAATTAAATGTAATTCAGATTTCAATGTCCATAAAAACTGGCATGCACCCACACTCAGTTTACATATTACCCGGTTTGCCCATTGCTTATGACTGTTTTATTGTAAGGCAGAGTTGATACTACCGGGCCCTTTATGGAGGAAAACTTGCCAAGCACTGCTTTAAAGCATCTGTTGAATATAATGAATTAAGTTTTCTCCTGTTTAACTAGAATTGTATTAGCTAAGTACTGTCCTGGGGGAAATTTACAAAACTCATGCAAATCATTTTTCTGTTCAGGAGCTTGGGTTGAGAAAAACTGGATTAAATCTTACTGTGATATTGGTAGGAGGGTTACTGACTGTGTGACACATGAACTGTGCCTTGAAAAAATGGATTTCGACCAAGATTGGCCTGTGGCATTCTTGAGCAACTGTGCAGAGACAAGCAGTGGGGATTCCGTTCAGGATAGTGATGGGAGCACATTATAGAGATGACAGAAGCTGGTGTGGAAAAACAGGATGGAAAGTTAGGTTGGGGACAAACCAGAGAAGAAAAGTACACTGGAGAAAGGATTGAGTATCAAGTGCTGCAGAGCATCTCGAATGTAGAGTAGAATGTTGAGCCTGGCGTTTAGGAGCACGGCTATGGTAAAAGGCCAGCCGTGAAGCCTATAGGAGCAATGATGACTGAGACAGCGCTGTGCAGCCGGCTAGCAATGTTCTTGGGGTCCCTATGAGGATGCAGAGTGGTACAGCTACAGATGGGGAAGCTGCGTAATTATTTTTCTGAATGTCAGAAAAATACATGATGGCCTTTCTGTTTTCTTTCAATATTAGTGTTCTAGGACAGATCAGACATTTTGTAATGATGCCTGAAATAAACACTGACCACCTCGACGAGCAACAGGTTCAACTCCTGGCAGAGATGTGTATACTTATTGATGAAAATGACAATAAAATTGGGGCTGAGACCAAGAAGAATTGTCACCTGAATGAGAACATTGACAAAGGTACTGCTTTGAAATATTCTTTGTTGTAAAGCAGTTTGTGTAGGCATACCTGATTTGCTGAGAAGAGCACTCTGTTCAAGGCACTGCAGTCTTTAATAATACCGTATCAAATAGGCCGGGCGCGGTGGCTCAAGCCTGTAATCCCAGCACTTTGGGAGGCCGAGGCGGGTGGATCATGAGGTCGAGAGATCGAGACCATCCTGGTCAACATGGTGAAACCTCGTCTCTACTAAAAATACAAAAAATTAGCTGGGCATGGTGGTGCTTGCCTGTAATCCCAGCTACTCAGGAGGCTGAGGCAGGAGAATTGCGTGAACCCAGGAGGTGGAGGTTGCGGTGAGCCGAGATCGCGCCATTGCACTCCAGCCTGGGTAACAAGAGCGAAACTCCGTCTCAAAAAAAAAAAAATACCGTATCTTCTCTTTGGTTCCAGTTTGTTAAATAGTGTAGTCATAGCATCATCTTTGCTGTTCTTGTTAACGGTGATTTCTCTTCACATTATGCCTTTTACTCGGCTTCTTCAGAGTTTTATTCTAGATTCATAAAAGAAGAAGCAGACTAACCCTGATTAGAGCCTAGCCTCTAATCTTTCTAAAGAACTGAGAGGGGCAGGCACCGTGCAGGGAAGGGTTTGCCTTCGCCACTTTCTGAGAATTGAATGTCCTTGATAGGGAACTTGACTGCAGGAAAGGGACCACCAGCATCATCCTTTCCTTCACTTGACGGCCAGCTTCCTAGCCCAGTGCAGCGCGCTTTCTCACCATAGCCATGCAGGGACTATGCATCCACATAAACTGTGTGAAAAAGCAAAAGCAACAGCAAGTTACTAATGTTATTCTGAACTGCAAGGAGAGAGTTGGGCAAATAACTGATACTTAAAGCTAAATTAATTATTTATTTTGCTTTCAGGATTATTGCATCGAGCTTTTAGTGTCTTCTTATTCAACACTGAAAATAAGCTTCTGCTACAGCAAAGATCAGATGCTAAGATTACCTTTCCAGGTTCGTACACTTAGTGTACAGTATTTTGTTTGTACAATAATTTGACTTTTTATCATTCTGAATTCCTGGAGCCAAGGTCAAAAAGGGAAATCCTGTGAATGGCATATTTTATATTCTACGTAAAGTAAGTTTATACAGTAAGTGCAACCTAATACAACAGCAATAAAGAATAAGCTAGTGAGCAGTTGAGCAATGTGTATATATTTATATATTTTATCTTTAATCTGTATTTTCTACACACTGTGATCTTTTTTGGTTAAAGGAGCATTAATAAGGAACTTACCAGGCCGGGCGCGGTGGCTCAAGCCTGTAATCCCAGCACTTTGGGAGGCCGAGGCGGGTGGATCACAAGGTCAAGAGATCGAGACCATCTTGGTCAACATGGTGAAACCCCGTCTCTACTAAAAATACAAAAAAAATAGCCAGGCATGGTGGTGCGTGCCTGTAATCCCAGCTACTCAGGAGGCTGAGGCAGGAGAATTGCCTGAACCCGGGAGGCGGAGGTTGCGGTGAGCCGAGATCGCGCCATTGCACTCCAGCCTGGGTAACAAGAGTGAAACTCCGTCTCAAAAAAAAAAAAAAAAAATAAGGAACTTACCTACAAATGAAGTCTGTCTCACAAAACAATTACTGATAGCCCATTATAACTGATTTTAGACTCCCTTTTTTTTTTTTTTTTTTTTTTTTTTTTGAAATGCAGTCTTGCTCTGTTACGCAGGATAGAGTGCAATGGCACCATCTCGGCTCACTGCAACCTTTCCCTCCTAGGTTCAAGCGATTCTCCTGCCACAGCCTCCCAGCTAGTAGCTGGAATTACAGGCGCGTGCCACCATGCCCATCTAATTTTTGTATTTTAGTAGAGACAGGGTTTCACCATGTTGGTCAGGCTGGTCTCGAACTCCTTACCTTGTGATCTGCTTGCCTTGGCCTCCCAAAGTGCAGGGATTACAGGCATGAGCCACCGCACCTGGCCTGATTTTAAAATTGTTAAAAATCATTTTATTTGGCCGGGCAAGGTGGCTTATGTCTGTAATCCCAGTACTTTGAGAGGCCAAGGCAGGCAGATCACAGGTAAGGAGTTTGAGACCAGCCTGGCCAACATGGTGAAACCCCATCTCTACTAAAATACAAAAAATTAGCCAGATGTGGTGGTGCACACCTGTAGTCCCAGCTACTCTGGAGGCTGAGCCAGGGGAATCATTTGAACCCGAAGCTGGAGGTTGTGCCACTGCACTCCAGCCCGGGCAACAGAGCTAGACTCCATCTCAAAAAAAAAATTATTTTATTTTTCTGCTACTTATAAACTTTCCTGATCTTTCAGGCCTACTTTGAAGAAGAGTTGATCTGTCTCTATTAACATTTTCCAGGTTGTTTCACTAATACTTGTTGTAGTCATCCATTAAGTAATCCAGATGAGCTTGAGGAAAATGACGCCCTTGGAGTGAAGCGAGCAGCGCAGAGGCGGCTGAAAGCTGAGCTGGGAATTCCCTTGGAACAGGTAACTGGCTGTACTACACAACCATACGAACTGAAACCTAAACATACTCTAAAACGTTTCTTAATAAAATTTTTAAGTAGCTCTCTGCTTGGTAACCTCCTGAATTATGAGTTACTCCCACAAGCCATCTGGAGTAAAGATTATTTAAATTTAAATTTCTTAATGTAGCTTCTCAAAACTTAGCTCAGTACTGGGATGGATTGATCTGTTAACCACTGTATAAGGTTGAATATTTCTGTAATTGATCAAATCAAAGATGAATATTTTCTTTTTTTTTTTTTTTTTTTTTTTTTTGAGACGGAGTTTCGCCCTTGTTACCCAGACTGGAGTGCAATGGCACGATCTCGGCTCACCGCAACCTCCGCCTCCTGGGCTCAGGCAATTCTCCTGCCTCAGCCTCCTGAGTAGCTGGGATTACAGGCACGTGCCACCATGCCCAGCTAATTTTTTGCACTTTTAGTAGAGACGGGGTTTCACCATGTTGACCAGGATGGTCTCGATCTCTCGACCTCGTGATCCACCCGCCTCGGCCTCCCAAAGTGCTGGGATTACAGGCTTGAGCCACCGCGCCCGGCTAAAGATGAATATTTTCAAGTGAGTGTTACAGCTCTGGTAGAATTTGACTGGCAGGTTTTCCAGTTTTCACCTGAATCCTTCTCTCCCCATCAAAATAAAGGTGAATATTTTCATTTGGAAATTCTTAGGAATGTGAACGATAAATCTTTTTTTTTTTTTTTTTTTTCTTTTTTCTGAGACGGAGTTTCACTCTAGTTACCCAGGCTGGAGTGCAATGGCGCGATCTCGGCTCACCGCAACCTCCGCCTCCCGGGTTCAGGCAATTCTCCTGCCTCAGCCTCCTGAATAGCTGGGATTATAGGCATGTGCCACCATGCCCAGCTAATTTTTTGTATTTTTAGTAGAGACGGGGTTTTACCATGTTGACCAGGTTGGTCTCGATCTCTTGACCTTGTGATCCACCCGCCTCGGCCTCCCAAAGTGCTGGGTTACAGGCTTGAGCCACCGCGCCCGGCCCAGAAAGTACTTCTTATCTATAATCTCCAAAAAGCGGTCATATTTTAATGAAAAAGAAGAAAGTCACATTTTTAGTTTGAGTCACTGCCCCTTTTTTTAATATTTAAAAAAAATAAAAAACAACTTACCTGTTTGGTCCTACAGGGAAAAACATAGACACTTGAAAGTAATAATGTAATCATTTCCCACATTAATATTAAGCTTACCATATATTGTTGATAGGAAAGTAACACTTTAAAAGTTGTAATTCTAAAGTTATACTCCTGTTCAAGATACCGCTGTAATATGGTAAGCTAATTTTAGATTTTTTTGTTGTTGTTGTTATTGTGGCTGATGTTTGTTTATTTTTTAATGTCTTAGGTTCCTCCAGAAGAAATTAATTATTTAACACGAATTTACTACAAAGCTCAGTCAGATGGTATCTGGGGTGAACATGAAATTGATTACATTTTGTTTGTGAGAAAGAATGTAACTTTGAATCCTGATCCCAATGAGATTAAAAGCTATTGTTATGTGTCAAAGGAAGAACTAAAGGAACTTCTGAAAAAAGCAGCCAATGGTGAAATCAAGATAACGCCATGGTTTCAAATTATTGCAGAGACTTTTCTCTTCAAATGGTGGGATAACTTAAATCATTTGAATCAGTTTGTTGACCGTGAGAAAATACACAGAATGTGAACATGTAGGTGAATGAATACTGAAAAATTTCTCTATTTAACAAACTTAGAATTACTTTTTCAGTTCAAATTTAGTTCACTATCATCAGTGTAATATATACGCTGACACTTTATAACTTGTGTAGAAAAAAACTAACAATTTTGTATCACACACCCTGGATATGTGTTCTGTTTCTAAATGACATTTGTGAGAGATTATTGTAAAATGAGAGAGATCAAATAAAAATTTAATCTGGGCCGGGCACGGTGGCTCAAGCCTGTAATCCCAGCACTTTGGGAGGCCGAGGCGGGTGGATCACGAGGTCAAGAGATCGAGACCATCCCGGTCAACATGGTGAAACCCCGTCTCTACTAAAAATACAAAAAAATTAGCTGGGCATGGTGGCACGTGCCTGTAATCCCAGCTACTCAGGAGGCTGAGGCAGGAGAATTGCCTGAACCCGGGAGGCGGAGGTTGCGGTGAGCCAAGATCGCGCCATTGCACTCCATCCTGGGTAACAAGAGCAAAACTCCGTCTAAAAAAAAAAAATTTTAATCTGTGCAGACACAAGCTGATGGCAAATTGGAACAAATGAGTGAAGCCCTGTGTTTTTGGTAAGCTGGGATAACGTTTCTGGAGCACTTACCATTTGCCAGATACTTTGTGTCGCTAAATTTTTCTCATAGTTCAGAAAAATGTGCAAAAGAAACTATTGCTTAGCTCCTTCAAAACAGTCCTGATTAACTTTCTTATTAACAGATCAAACTAGCAGGGCAGGTTCAAGGGGAATTAAATGATGTGGACCCTAATTTGTGTCATTCTGAGTTGATTGTGTGGTTTATTCATTCTGGAAATATGTTGATACTTAAAGTCAGCCATGGCTTTTGATAAGTGATATTGATTAGGTTAAGCCTTCTTTTAAATAGTATTTGCCAGTTAGCAAAGTCTGTATTCTCAGAATTACAGTGGGCACAGAGGTGTTCATAAAATGGGAATTGAGTCCCACTCAACAAAGGTTGTTTAATCTTGACCTGGTGACATTTGGGCTGGATACAATCTTTGTGGTAGGGGTCCATCCTGTGCATTATAGGACGGTGAGTAGCATCCCTGGACAGCACAGCAGATCCTGTTAGCGTCCCTCTCTCATGACACCCAGAATTATACCAGATGTTGCCAGATGCTCCTGGGGGCCAGAGTCAATGCCCAACTGAGAACCACTGTCCTACAGAGTCTGGCGATATTGTAGAGGGAAACAACAATGACAAAAGTCAGTGTTCCTGTTAAATAGATTTAGAGTATGGAATGTGTACAGTAATGTTAAAAATTATACCATGATCAATGTACTTTTATAAACTTGCCATAGGTATCAAAATTGAAATCTCAAGACAGCTTTATTATTCTTAAATGCTGTATAATAAAAAATGAAAATTTATTTCTTACAAAGTTAAATGTTTGTTAAGTTTAATAGAATGATTCATTTATGGTTAACTTTGGACAATTTATAATTTCAGACAAGACTGTAGCACCTATTTTATTGAAAAGTAAAAAAATTGCATTTAATACTGTGTCTAGTTTGTTGAAATTTTAATACACTAATAGGATATTGCCTATATAGTTTGTTGCATTTATAATATTTTTTCTAATTTTTTTAGTTTTATTTTCTAGGAAGTTTTAGGCCAAAAGCCACATATAATTAGTTACATAATAACTATGAGTTGCCAGTGGTTACTGAATTGGACATCGGAGCCTTAGACTCTTACTGACACCTTCTAAGTAGAGTTAGATATTACTGTTGCTGCATTACTAGGATGCCATCCAGAAAATCAAAGTAGGAATGTTTTTTGACCTGACTCCTTAGAACTCTTTTATCTTTTATAAAGAGGAGTATCCCTCTCTTAGACATAGCTGCTTCTGACCCCAAAGGCAAAATGTGTTGGTTTTGAACTTGAAAGCTAAATGATACCTAGAATTTTTTTTTTCTTAATGTTTTAAATTCTTAGTCTTCAAAATATATACTTGTTTAATTCTGGTCAAACCATTGTGAACTCCTTTAAGGACAAAGTAGAGATGACTTTCTATAAAATTGCTAATTCTGTTTCCCTGCCTCTATTATCAAGCGAACAAAACCAAAACAGAAAATGGTATAGTTGGAAGGAAGACACATTTTCTTCTTGTTTGGCCCTGGCACCTGGGGCAAGTCCGGGTTGTTCCTCTAGTGGGTCTCTGTGGTGTAGAAGCTGCCCTGCACCTGCGCCCTGGTGGGTGATTGTGCAGTGCTTCCATCATCCCACTTGGATCTGTCTGTTGGGAATTCTTCATGGGATGAGGAACTTTAGATCCCAGCTTGACCAATGGGATTGTCTTTTTATTATTTCAGATACACCTCTCCTTCACCCTTCTTCTCTGGGTGCTTTTTCAGCCCTAAGTATGTACGTACACATTTTACAGTATTTTATAGCATGAACTGAAGTATTTGTGTGCATTCAGATATCCTGACAACTTTCTACTTTATAATTTTGATACATGCTTTATACTTATTTATCATATACATGCTTAAGACTCCCAAATGTAAATCTCCAACACAGCATTCTCTGCTTTATATGCATATAGGTGAATGCATAACTGATATATCCAGAAAGTAGAATGTTATTCGGCACTAAAAAGAAATGAGCTCTCAAACCACGAAAAGACAGGGAGGAAAGTTAGATGCATGTTGCTGAAAGAAGTGTGAAAAGGCTACATATCCTGAAAGAGTCCGGTTCTCCAACACTGCAGTAAAGGGAAAACTGGAAACAGTAAAAAGCCAGGGGCCAGAGGGGAGGGAGAAGTGATTGGGTAGGGCACAGGATTTTTAGCACAGTGAAACTCTTCTGCATGATACTCCACTGGTGGATATATGTCACTATGCATTCATCAGACTTGTAGAATGTCCAAGTGCAAGCCTCATGTAAACTGCACGCCAGGTGATAATGATGTGTCGATGCACGTCTATTGGCTGTAAGAAATGGACCACTCTGGCCGGGCGCGGTGGCTCAAGCCTGTAATCCCAGCACTTTGGGAGGCCGAGGCGGGTGGATCACAAGGTCAAGAGATCGAGACCATCCTGGTCAACATGGTGAAACCCCGTCTCTACTAAAAATACAAAAAATTAGCTGGGCATGGTGGCACATGCCTGTAATCCCAGCTACTCAGGAGGCTGAGGCAGGAGAATTGCCTGAACCCAGGAGGCGGAGGTTGCGGTGAGCCGAGATTGCGCCATTGCACTCCAGCCTGGGTAACAAGAGTGAAACTCAGCCTCAAAAAAAAGAAATGGACCACTCTGATGGGGATGTTGATAGTGGGGGCACCTGGGTGTGTGGAGGGGCAGTGGGTCTATGGAAACTGTACCACTCAATTTTGCTGTGAGCCTGAACTGGTTTAAAGAATAAAATATATTAAAATTTGGGCGTTAAACACAAAAAGGAGCTTAACCTCGTTAATCTCTGGGTAAATGCAAATTGGAACCCAAATTTAAAGGACCAACATCACCAAGTGTTGACAGGATATAAAGTAACTGCTAAGTATGTATGCTACTGTGGAGCTGATGGACACTGTCTACTAAAGTCAAACGAGTCGGACCTGGTGGGAGACAAATATGGATGGTTCTACCTTCTGTGGTTTCCGTTTTACTAACTTAGCAGAGAAGTAATTCAGCATTATTCTTGAGCTGGGAAATCACTGACATATTCATTGTTGCTTGCAGAAACTAGGTGTTTCCTAGATGTTCATGTGCTGCCCTATAAGGTGGTGTGGTGTGGGTTCAGGGTGATGCTTGCTCATGGAGCTCTTTACTACATTCCTAGTCTCTAGCCTGAGGACGCCCCTGCTAAAACAACCACAATGAGTACGTCAGCCCTGGTGTTCACGCAGTCGGATGCTGTCATGCTGCGGGAGCAATCCTGATGTACACAGCAGTGTGAATAAATCCACAGAGCCAGTCTTGATTCAAAAGGCACATGTGATTCCAGTGAAAAGTCAAAAGCAGACAAAACCAATTAAGATGTAGGCCAGAATAGAGGCTACTTCCAGGGGGCACAGGGAGCTTTTTTTTTTTTTTTTTTTTTTTTTTTTTTTTTTTTTTGAGACGGAGTTTTGCTCTTGTTACCCAGGCTGGAGTGCAATGGCGCGATCTCGGCTCACCGCAACCTCCGCCTCCTGGGCTCAGGCAATTCTCCTGCCTCAGCCTCCTAAGTAGCTGGGATTACAGGCACGTGCCACCACGCCCAGCTAGTTTTTTGTATTTTTAGTAGAGACGGGGTTTCACCATGTTGACCAGGATGGTCTCGATCTCTTGACCTCGTGATCCACCCGCCTCAGCCTCCCAAAGTGCTGGGATTACAGGCTTGAGCCACCGCGCCCGGCTTTTTTTTTTTTTTTTTTTTTTTTGAGACAGAGTTTCGCTCTTGTTACCCAGGCTGGAGTGCAATGGCACGATCTCGGCTCACCGCAACCTCCGCCCCCTGGGTTCAGGCAATTCTCCTGCCTCAGCCTCCTGAGTAGCTGGGATTACAGGCACGAGCCACCATGCCCAGCTAAAGGGCACAGGGAGCTTTGTGAGATTGTAAAAGTATTCCCTGTGTTGATGGGGTGTTAATTGCATGGTGAATATGTTAGGCTTGATCGAAACAATTTGTGTGCTTTTAAGTGACAGCTTAACACAATATAGAATCAGTGAGCTCTATAGAATACAGCTCAGCACTGAGAGAATCAGTGGAGGCCAAGTGGCAACTCACCTTGACAGGATTGGAAATGGAGGCACTTCTGGCCACTGCATCTTGGTATCAGAGTGGCACGGAAAAGCAATGAAGACGCACCCTGCATGGGTTGGGGCTCCACTCAGAGAAGACAGCAAGGTCAGCTCCCACAGTGTGCATTGGTCCCTATGCCTGTGGGCCACTCCTGTGCCATAGGAAAAGAACTCTGTCCCCACCTCACGGGGGACAAAAGTGGCAGCTGGGTTAGTCGTGTGCTGCTTGTGATCACATGCCCTTACACAGATTAAAAGGAACACACACAGTCTGGGCAGGAAAGGTGTTCCCAGGCCAGGTGACAGACCAGCTCCGGCTGTGAGGCCTTGCTTGCATCTCAGCACATCCACGTGCTTTCCCTTCACCTGGAACTTGCATTCCCTTAGTCTGCACCTGGCTGAATATGACTTGTTCTTAAACCCTTGGCTTAAATGTCATCTCATATAGTCCTCCCAGGACTCAAATCTGAATCACAAGCATGAAGTGGGAGCTCAGT